TCGCTACAGCATCCTCATCAGTGCTTCTCGCTACAGCATCCTCATCATCAGTGCTTCTCGCTACAGCACCCTCATCATCAGTGCTTCTCGCTACAGCATCCTCGTCAGTGCTTCTCGCTACAGCATCCCTCATCAATGTTTCTCGCTATCTAGAAGCATCTGTTACAAACGTTGAACATTTCTTAAATTATACAAATAAGAAAGTGTGTAGTTTAATGCCTTTCTCATCTCTGTTCCTCTGAACAGCAATAGCCATGCATTTATTTATTCAACACATTTTTGCTGGCCCTGGGAACTGAGACAGTATAAATGCTCATTACACGTTACTGAATGGGAGGGGTCAGCTTGACGTCTGCTTTCATAAAAACTGCTTTATTGCAGTATAGTCTCTCCCCTCATTTATGCATTATCTCCCTTTGTGCTGACATGCTAGACTTGAACATTTTTAACAGATTCTATATGCATGACAACCAAAAATATTATCCATCTGTATAGAAAAATGACTAATGATCCCTGAACTAGTGAACTGATTACCATTTTAAAGAAATTAGCTAAAGTATGACCACAAGAAAATAAGCTCTCAGAGTTTAGGTCAGTGGTCTCATGAAATAGTAGAGATAAAATGAATTTATTTTGTCTTCTCGTGGCATAAATAAAGATACAAAAAGTGCTGTGAATAAGGCAATGGTGAAATTCTAATGCTTTCTATTACAAGACACTGTGGGGGTTTGAATAGGAATGGCTTCCGTAGACCCATGTGTTTTAACGCTTGGCCCCTAGGGAGTAGCACTAATAGGAAGTGTGACCTTGTTGGAGGAAGTGTGTCACTGTGGAGGCGGGCTCTGAAGTCTCACACCATGACTAGTAAGTCAGTTCACTTCCTGTTGCCTGTGGATCAAGACAAAACTCTCAGCTCCTTCTCTAGCACCATGTCCGTCTGCAGGCTGCCATGCTTCTCACCATGACAATAATGGACTAAACCTCTGAAACTGTAAGCCAGTCCCAATTAAATGCTTTCCTTTATAAGAGTTTCCACGGTCATGTTGTCTCTTCACAGCAAAAGAAACCCTAAGTAAGGCAGACATATTCTATATTCAGATGCTAAAATGAGAAGAAAAAAAAAAGTCTTGGCACTCATAAAATATGTCAGGCATCACAGGAATTAAAGCAAATAATTAAAAGTAATGCAAGAACTTTATGATGGAGTTATATAACACTCAGGAGTATTTCTAATAAAGTATATTAGAACTTAAGCAGGATATTTTCCCCTCCTGGAGAGAGAGTTAGGAACACACACTCCTGTCACAGCTCTCACTGTTGTAGGCGGATTCTGTCAAAACTACTCCAGCTTCAGAGGAAAGCCAGTAAGTGTGCCATTTATAATGAAACATATGTTCATAGGCTTAAAAGGATGTTTACAAACATTTCTTCTCTACTTATGCATTGATTATTGCTCTCCAAGAATGAATGTAACATGTTACGCCTTTTAAGCACAGTATATTTTTATTTCACACTGCTTTGTTCTGCGAGAAAGTTTTGAGGCGGCTCAGACATGGCTTTCTCCACTAAAGGACAGAGAGAAGAGCTGATGTGGAAGCGCGAGAGGGGGGCCTCACGTGGGAATGGAAGCTACTGCAGGCACTTCGGATATCAAACTAGAAATAGAACTGACATAAAGCCGGTTGAATCTTTCTTGGGCATACACCCAAAGGGCCTTATATCCTTCTACAAAGCCACCTGAATACCCATGTCCACTGATACTCTATTCTAATAGCTAGGAAAGAGAATTAAGCTGGAGAGCTGTTAACAGATGAAAGGGTAAGAAAAATACAGCACAATTTACTATTGCTGAATTTGACTGCCATGACTATTGCACACATAAACTCACAGTGCTATGATTACCTGCACAAGAGCAAGCCAGGCTACATTATGGCATAGATGGGGAAGGTAGTCTCTAGGCATTGCCACCAATTGGGAAGCTACTGGAAGCGGACAGCTATGAGAGAGGGAGAGATGGATAATCCTTCTTTTCTGAGGTTGTTCTCACTGGTTGGTTTCCCATGCTCCAGTGGATGGCCCTGCACCCATACATATAAGTACAGCACTAGATGGACTTGGTGTTACACATACATAATGGGATATTACTCAATTGAAAAACAAAATGAAATTATGAAATTCATAGGTAAATGGATAGAATGGAATATAATCATTCTGAGATACCTGAAACCCAGAAAGACAAATACTGCATTTCTCTCCTATATCTGGAGGATAGATTTGACTCTTTGGATATGTATGTTTAAATTAGAGTACCAATAGATGGCAGGAAACCAGTATGGGGCCAAGGGAGGGCATTCAAGTTGTTGGTCAGACTCTCTCAATAATATTATAGGCTATCGCCATAGCTTTCAGTTACCCTCTAGAGCTTACTGCTAAGATTTCTGCTGAAGACTCTGCATACATGAGTCATAGGACATGGAGAAGTTAAGTGGTACCAACTAGGAAGCTTCATCCCAACTCCCTAGCTTTTACAGTGCAGGAAGGTGCCATGCATGCTACTGGGGGAGAAAAACAAGCAACAGTTTTACCCAGATGTGAGCCCTTCCACTTGAAATAATGATGCAACTGGCAATACAGGACCACTGGTGGAATAGCTGCACAAATATTACAGGAGTAACCAGCCACTTTCTGCTTGGACTGGCCCTCCTTGACAAGATGGAGCTCATTCCTTGTACCGTTAACTGGACCAAAAACCTGTGACTGGCGAGGTCAAAGGCCCTAGATTAGAGCCTAGCACTATTATTCTGCTAAATGGATACTAAGTGTTCCCTAATTCTCATCTTTATACCCATACAGCAGAGCATCTTTCATCACTCATCACAGGCACTATTTTTTATAGTATATGGAGATCAATACAGAGTACGCGTGGTCAACATGCAGAGAGTGAGGGATCATTGTGAGGGGGATGGAAAGATTATGAGAGCCAGAGGTGGTAAATGTCAGACACGACAGCACCACTGTGTACATGAACCCACAACTGCACGCACAGGCCTGCAGGAGACGGGGCGGGGAGCACATAAAGCCCCATCCCTCTCAGAGAAGTTACTGGCAGCTGGGGGCTTCTGGAGGAAGTTTTCTTCAGGAATATAGCAGAAAGTAAATCCAGTGGGTTTAAGAAGCAAACACATGGCTGGGCGTGCTGGCACACACCTTTAACCCAGCACTCGGGAGGCAGAGGCAGGCGGGTCTCTGTGAGCTCAAGGTCAGCCTGGTCTACAAGAGCTAGTTCCATGACAGGGTCCAAAGCTACAGAGAAACCCTGTTGGGGCCGGGGGGGGGGGGGTGTTGGAGAAGAAGCAAACATATGAAGTTGGAAAGAAAAGTGTTGGGAGATAAGGGAGAAATTGAAAGGGGGAAAAAAAAGGGAGTGGTTTTGACCAAACCATATCATAGGTATGGATAAAATGCTAAAAAGAAAAAAAACAACAAAAAAGGCATAAAATTGAAGAAGGAACATATTCATGGGGACATGAGAGTAGCTGACAGAGGAAATTAGGGATTGATATAATTATATTTTATTGTTTATATGTATGAAATTCTCAAGAATAAAGAAAACGATAATAAAAAATACATTTAAATCTTAAAATAAGAAATAAAGCCTATTGCTGAAAACAAAAAATTAAAGTAAAACTAAAAAAAGTACTTTCTATTCTTATGTATAAAATTATATCATTTTATGAAATACGGTACTATGTAATCTCTATTACAATCTCACTAACTATTTGCTATACTGACATTAAAACACAAGCTGGCATTAAATTACTGAAAACCATATATCCTGTAAACAGAATATCTGGGCATCAACAAATGCTAAAACACTGAGGGTAATGTTCTTTCTGCTGTACCACAGCGGGCAAACACCTCCAGCCATCTCCCAGGCTGTCACTTCCAAGCAGCTTGGTGTATGTGGGGATGGCACAGAATCTCCGTGCAGAGGAAGAACTTACAGCTCATGTTTGGTCAGGAAAGATGGCCTAACGTCTCCTTGGCTGCGGCTCTGGGAATCTTTGGCTGCGCCTTACTGAGCTTATGCTACTTAGGTTTATTTCTGTGCGCTACCTGAAACAAAAACTTACTTCCCAGGTGACAGTCTTGAGTGACAGGAACACAGGAGTGTAACAGAGTATAATAATGATAAGATACACTTTATTATACGGGTACTATGACATGCTATTGACCTGTGTAACTGACCTGTAACAGAAGCACCAACAGCTCCTCCTTCGCCACAGGAGGTTTTCTTTTCGTGAGAGTCGTTACAATAGCCAGGGACAGCAGAAGGACCAGCAAGCCCGCACCCATGCTGTTTCAAAACATAGTTCACATTAAAACTTTTCTAAAGAAGCTTACTAAAGACAGCATATGAAAACATGAGACACTTTGTGCAAATGCAGAACTCTCAGGCATTCCAGTTAATCCACAGGAAGCAGCAGTAAAGCTGGCAGAGGAACAGTGGGAAAGAACAGGACAAGCACATGACAGGGCTCATTGCAACCTCTCCACAATTTCAGTATATTTACCTTATTATCCTCTTTCTCTCATTCATTCCGTGTCATTCACTAACTGCAATGTTACTTAATCTGAACTGGGCAAACACACAGAGAGAATATAAAGATAGCTAAACAAATGGCTGTCGTCATGGGCCATGCAGATTCTAACTCTGAGAATCACGCACACAGCATCCTGTTAGGCCAATAGCTCCTTCCTGTCACTGGTCTTGGTATCTCCCAGCTGGCATGGCTGTAAGGTAGGGCAGCGGTCCCAAAGGTGTTGAGGGACTACATCACCATACACGTATCCTATAGATGATGAAGTAGTTAATTTCCTTTTCTAGACCATCAGGAAGATGGTCACTGAAATCACAGGTAACAAAAAAAAAAAATCAAGGAATTTTAGCTCTATTTCTTTCTTCATAAAAATCTGATTAATATAACTGAAAGTATGTTCAAGAATCAATGTAGAACTCAAATTAAGAGAACTTAGGAAAAATGAGTTTCTTAGAGAAATAAGCAAGTGTAAATGCATGGTTAGATATAGGCCTAGAACATGGTAGACATTTGTTTGTTTTAATTTTTCAAATAATCTCTGAGAATCATAAGACAGTAACACTTTAAGAAGTATTATAATAAAACTCAGAAAAAATGTTTGCTTCTTCCCTTTCTTTCAAAAACTAAATTGCATTTTTACTCATTGGCAACTCCTTTGCATTAGTACGCTGGGCTCTCAGGAAGCTGATGGTCACACTATACACCTATCTGCTCTTCTTACTTTATGCTTAAATGTTTCACGTATCTGTTTCTGCAATCCAGAGGACGGAATTGCTGTGAGAGATCAAATGGAGATGGAACTTCCTCTATGAACTAAAAATAAAATAAGTTGTGAATAATCACAGGAAGTCAACATGAATTTAACATTAATAGTAATTTAAATCAAGTTTAGGAGAAACACCACAATTTTCAAAACCACAAATTTGATTTTTCACATTTTAGAAGATGTATTTGCTTTCTGAGTCAGCCTTTAGTGGAATGTACAAGTGGCAAATATCTACAGAAACGATTTATGCAATTTTTCCTCTTTCAGCATATCGTAACTTCTCCCTAACTATGCTACACTGCTTGAGGAAGACAAATGGACCACAGCGGACAAAAGGAAAGAAAGGGCTTTACAGAGACACCAGAAGACCCCACTGTGGGACTCCTAGAGCAGGGGCTGTCCCAGACTGCTTACTGGCTTTGGCCCCCTACTCCTCATACTGGGTCACAGCATGCAGTCTTAATATTAATATTCACAGAGGTGCTTAGTCTTAATGCAACTTGATACGCCATGTTTTGTTGATACTCATGGGAGACCTGCCCTTTCCTGAACAGAAACGGGGGAGTAAATTGTGGGGCGAGAGAAGAGGGGGTGTGAGGAGAGGGACTGGGAGGAGAGGAGGAAGGAGAAACTGCAGCTGGGATGTAAATAAATATGTTTATTAAAAAATAATAAAAAAGAATTTCTTAAATTAACAATCACTTAAAAATATTCAGTTAATCTTCCTACTATTAAAAATAAGATACACCGTCATGTATTAAAGGTTAAAATGCCTTTTAAAAATTCTCAGAGTGAACCAGGCAGTGGTGGCCCACACCTTTAATCCCAGTACTCCGGAGGCAGAGGCAGGAAAATCTCTGAGTTCAAAACTAGTCTGGTCTACAAGCAAGTTCCAGGATAGCCAGCGATACAGAGATTCCTGTCTCAAAAATTAAAAAAAAAAATGCCCAGAGGGCTCAGATATAGGCAGCGAAGGTGATTTATGTGATTTATAACAAGAAGAATGGAGGAGGATGGTATTCATGCCTAAATCCCAGTACTCAGAAGGCTGAGGCAAGACGCTGAGTTTGAAGCCAGCCTGGGCTACATACACAGGCTCCACCTATAAATTAATAATTAATTATTAATTAATTAATTAATTAACAAAGCGAAAGACACTGCAGCAGTCAGACGGAACAAAGACAATTTAGTCAAGCACCTATAGACACAGACCAGGACACGCACACACATGGAGTGGGAGTAGTGTCAGTAGTCACCTAATAGCAACTTTAAAACTTAAAAGCAAAGGCGACCAACTGTTTTTAACATTTGTCCTCCTCACTTGGTACATCGTGTACCATCAACATTAGGAACATATGTAAAACACAGAAATTTTCCTGCACAATTTGAATGGATAAATATAGAAAAGTTTCCTAGCAAGTACAAGGTCCCGGGGTTGATTTCTAGTTTAGCAGACACAATAAAATGAATCATCAATGGCCCTGCCCCTTGTTGAACACTGGAGAAGGAGAGCTGGCCCTGCACCCCCATGGGAGAGCTATCCCACCCCTCACCATGGGCATCTGTTCCAAATGGCATGGCCTAGGGGAGCTGGTTCAGTCCCTTGCCTGAGGAAGCAGTCCCAGTGGACCCTGACCTGCTCAGCTACCACCCAGACCCTCATCCTGGGCTCTGGGTTGGCCATCTTAATATCTACCTCATCTACGACCTGCTGGAGAGAGTGAATGGCCTGGTCCCCAGGATCCCCTACGACTGAGGGCAGCAGCAGGATATGCCAGTGTGTTCCAGAGGCCTTGAACCAGACCAAACCCATCGCAGCGAACAATCTGCAGGTGGGGCTGACTAGACAAGAGGGGATACTGCAAGACACACTGCAGATCCCAGTGACACTGGGGTGGCTGAAGACACTTGGGAAGACAAGGAGAAAAGTAGGTCTGTGTTTCCTTTTTAATTTTTTGGAGGGTATGTTGTAGGAGTGAGGGGCAGATATGGAAGGACTGCGAGGTGAACAAGAATACACAGTCTGATATGAAATTTCCAAAGAATCAATAAAGAATTATATTAAAAATTAAAATTAAGATTAAAATAAAATCAAGACAACACAAAATAAATGTAAAGCTTTTAAAACAGAGATTTTTTCCCTGATGAGTAAAATAATTTAATTAAAATAAGACAAGCTTGAGTTTGTCAATGGCTTTTGCTATGGACACACTCAGAGGCAACACTTCAGCAACAGAACATGTTCACATGTTACTAAAATTTTTACAGATTCCATAATATTCAAAGTACATGAAATCTGGATGCACTTTCATCGCCCGTGAAGGTCTGGTAGCATCGCCACAGAGATCATGCCTCGCAGGTGATTGGCTGAGGTTATAAGGAGTAAGTTTACATTAGTATTTCAAGTCTATCCATGCAGCGTTAGGCTCAGGACCAAGATTAAAGTGGATTAAAGTGTTATGCTGTTGGGGCTGGACAGGTGGTTTCGGTAGGCAAGGGCACTTCCTGCTCTTCTGGGGGATGGCAGCTCAGTTCCCAGCACCCACATCAGGGGGCTCCCAGCCACCCGCAACCCTAGATCCAAGGAGTCTCACATCCCCCTGGGGCCTTCATGGAGACCCACATATATATGGCTGGCGCCCACACACACACACGTGTCTCTCTTTCTCTCTCTCACGCACGTGCATGTGCACACAAACACACACACACACACACACACACACATACACACACAGAGAGAGAGAGAGAGAGAAAGAGAGAGAGAGAGAGAGAACTGTTTGTAAATGTCACAGTGTCAGGAGAGGACAAATTCTACTGAAATGGAAAACAACGCTGTACATACACTAGAGAGATGTCTGGCTTTCTACCCACAACAGGCATCAGTGGGAACACTGCCAGAAGCAAAGAGAAGAAAGCCCAACTCAGGCAGGTGATCTGCAATAAAAAAATATATATATATGTTTAGACAAATATGGTATAGAAATCTGTTTTTAGCATCTTACATAATACATGAGTGTAAAACTAAAATCAAAACCAGTCTGGTATTTACTATGGAAAGTAACATTGTATTAGTTACCTTTGTAATAACAAAACGTAGGGCAGGAAGCAACTTAAAGAAGGAAGAGTTTTCTCTCCTAGAGAAGAGGGGCTGGTCACACTGCAGCAAGTACGGAGCAGACACGAATGCGGCTGCTCACTTTGCCTCCCCCCACAGTCCCAGTGGTGCAGTGGGACTTTCACTGCAGATATTCCCAGAGACAAGCTGGCAGTCAAGACGACCCAATACAAACATGGCTACCTTACCGAATATTTACTATCTGTTTGGGGTTTGTGTATGTTAGAAATTTTCATAAATGTGCTTTGGTCAAATTCCCTCCCAGCGTCATGTGTTTTTAAACCCCACTGAGTCCAATCGATGCTACTACCTAGGAAAGCACTGTGTGGATGGGGCAAAGGTTGGCGTGTGGAGCCCGAGGCCACTCTGCTGCTCTCAGCAGGGCCCAGACTTCTCCCTCATCTAAAACTGGAGGCTCCATGGATGCTCCAAACAAGCCAGCTCTGCCTTTACAGCCTTCCTACATCTCAGGCTCATTCTGACAGGAACAGACATAGAAATCAGAGAGACCAACAGTTGATGTCAGCCCTCCCGTCCAAAGGACCTGGCTGTTTATGAGGCTACATTCCACTCCTTTGTCTGAAAATACACAATTCTTTGACCCAAATACATATCAACACAAAGTAATTGACAGTCTGTGCTGTCAACATGAGTACTTATACCTTTGCTCGGGCCCACAGCTGAGTGAGAAACGGCCAACCAGCAAACACAATCAGTCCGGCTGTCAGCATGTAGCGGTAGAAGAAACTGAACACCTGGTGATACATTGCCAAGGAAATGAAGAGTGAGGTCACATAAGACCAGTATGAAAACGCGAGACACCTGGAGATGCAGACTAGCCGGGTACTTACCAGCACTTCAATTCCCAAGATAAAGACAAGCAAGCAGGCAACAAAGTGGCTCAGAGGAAAAGTCAACAGGGAGGCAACCAGGTCTTGAATAACTTGATATCTGTTTGAGGAGATGATTTGGAAAGCACCTTAAAATAAGCAACATAATGCCAAAAAATAAAAAGTGCTAAAACCTAAAAGTCCCAGAAATTCCCACTCATAAATTATTTAAAATTTAAGATAAACTGTAGCAATTTGTTTCATGGCTTTGCTTACTTTTATTGGTAGAAAACTAGTATTTGGGGGAAAAGGATATAAAGCACTTGCTTAGATTCTATAAATATTAATGACCAGAAAGTATTCTTTTTGCTTTGTTTTGTTTTGCTTTTCGAGACAGGGTTTCTCTGTGTAGTCTTGACTTTCCTGGAACTAGCTCTGTAGACCAGGCTGGCCTCAAACTCACAGAGGTCCACCTGGCTCGGCCTCTCAAGAGTTAGGATTAAGGGAATGGACTACCACTGTCTGGCTCAATAAATCATTCCTGTATGATCTTAGTTTAAACAAAGGTATATGCATTTACAGAAAACCAGAAAGAAAATAAAATGAACCCAAATATATGCCAGCTGAAAGAAAATAATGAAACTCACCTGGATAACCCTGTGGGCTCCTGTCACAGTCTTAGTAGTGAAAGTCTTAAATGCACTTACTGACTTTCTTATTTTCAGTACCGAGAACTAAACCTAGGGCTTTCCACATGCAAGACATCCACCCTGACACTAAGCTAAAACCCCAGACTTTTCATTTAAACTTTATTTAGTCATTCAGGCTGGCCTCAAAATCCCAGTTTTGTGCCGCAGCCTCCTGCGGAGATGGGATTACAGATATGCACCACTACTCCCAGCTTAATTGCACTTTTTAACTGAGCCAAATAACCTTTCCAAACCCAATTTAAGATGTCATTAATTGTACACTAATTGTAATTGAGAATTTATAACCGCCAAAAATGTATTACATACTTGACTACATTTTACATTTCATTACTGAGAAGAAAAACTTTAGCATTTGTAGAACATTAAGTAGGTAATTATAAAAGGCCAGTGTCATTGGGTTTATAACCTTTTTCTGATGGAAAACAATGGCTGTTGAATAGAACATTATCACACTACTAAGTAGCCACCTGAGAAAGAAAAGTCAATTCCACAAGCAGAATATCTCTTTTGTTTTCCCCTGCGAATAAGCAAAAAAGCACAAAAGATTAAATGAAGTCATTTTGGAGGGTTTTATTCTAGAAAAAAATGGGTTAAATATTCCATTTTTATTTACTTATAGTGTGTGTATATATGTGTGTGGGTGTACGTTCCACAGTGTGCATGTGGAGGTCAGAGAAGAATCTGCAGGAATCTGTTCCTTTTACCATGGGGGCCTTGACCCCTGGAGCCATCTAGCCAACTTGAAAACTCACTTTTTATGCTTTATTTTCCATGCAACCTATTAAAAGAGTGCAATAAAATATAACTGCAAAATCACGGTCCCGTAGATTTTAAATATACATATATTACAATTAAGCTATTTAATAATTCAGAAGGGGTTCTAGTGGAGTAGAATATTCTTCTTGCCTAGCAAACCTTTTAGAAAATTGTGAAACCAGAGAAATGATGTCAGAAACAAAACAAAACAAAACTGTAAACTAAGTGCCGCGTGGTGATGGCGCAGCAGAGGCAGAGGCAGAGGCAGAGGCAGGCGGATCTCTGTGAGTTCAAGGCCAGCCTGGTCTATACAGTGAGTTCTAAGACTGGCTCTAAAGTTACAGAGAAACCATGTCTTGGAAGAAAAAAAAAACCTAAGCAAACCAACAGCCTTATTCCTTTTAGATGGTGAAGTCAGTATGTTCTTTGCTCAGTGTCTTTTTCCTTATATTTAAAGGTATCTGAAGCATCTCCATATTTTATTCCTTGTATTTTAATGTTTTAAAACATATTTTTAGAAGATAGAAGACAATGCTAGAATCAACAAAAATTAGAATAAAAAATGTAGTGTCAGGACTTATATGCTAGATAGTTCCTTTGTTTTGTTTTGTTTTTGATTTTGTTTTTTTTAGAAAGCATTTTCCTATAAAGTCAGACCTAGAAACCCCGACTGTCCTGCTTCTGTCTTCCGAGTACTGGGATCGTGGCACACACGATCACACCCAGCCTGTTATGCCATCTTAAAAATGCCCTTAAAAATGTTTGGAACCTGACTGAGTGCCTTCCTTTCCGGGTTGAATCCACTTTTAAACATCAAGAAGTACATAAAGACAGAACCACATCACATGTGAGTAAACATTAATAGATGTGATATAATTACAGTTTCAATACTTGATGGCTAAGAAAGAAGTAAAGTGTATGGAAAGAAAACACATAAAGATATTCTGAAATACAAGGTAAAACAAATCCTAGATGCAAGGTGCTCATGACACAGCACAGTAACATCAACTATATTTTTGTTTGAAGTCTACTCAAAGCAAAACAGGTGAAATCAAAATGTGAGACAAAAGGGATGTTTAATATGCAACATTATGCAGTTGTAAACAAAATGTGAGTGTTTGGACATCTAAGAGTATTATGGCCATCTTTTATGGCTTATGCTACAGAAATCATGTTGGGGGATGTTCGATCACACTGTGAACCTGAATTTGCATTTGCATTAATTAAACAAAATTAACCTTGGGTCAGGGGTCTGAGCTAGCAACTAGTTGTCAGAAAGTAATCATAGAACATCAGAGGGCATCTAGGAGGGAAAGCCGGAAGCACCAGAAAGAGTAGGGAGGTGTTTTAAATGGTGTGGTTTTTTTCTGTTTTGGCAGAGTGGAAGGACAGGCTTTTGGGGGGACGCCAAAGAAAATTAAGTCTCTATGCTGTTTTTTTGTGAGATAGTGGCCCAAGGAAAAATTCATCTACAAAACCTAATGCATTTTAAATACAGAATTAACTGCCAGTGAAGTGGAAAACAAGGAAAAAGACAAGGTACTTACTCTCTTAGAACTGCATACCATATCGGCACCGGCAGCAAGCAATACACATAGTAAGTCCAGGGACAGGCTTGGATCAGCAGAAAGCATGCCACTAAAACACCAATAGCTACAAAGCTGCATGGCAGAAGACGGTGTGGCTTCTGAAAATGAAACGGAACACTCAAATACATTGAAACCCTCGCTGATTGATAGTTGTTAGATTTTATAAAGGGAAAAATATTTTCTTCCAATGTTTGTTCAAGTAGACGATTAATTACAATTCTTTCAAAATGAAAAATCTATCATTTGAGGGTAATAACATATCTGAAAAGGAAATGGCTATCCTAGAATGGTTACTGTCAAGTCAGCTGCAGACTTGGCAATGGTCCTACAGTTGGTTTGTAAATAACTCATTCAGAACTCTGAACATAGTTGCTCTTAGAAACATTTTTTTTTTAAATCTTGATTGGCTTCTATGGCTAGCTCACAAGGACCTATTTATCACACAAGAAACCATTCTTCATTTGGAAATAAACTTTCTTTCTATCAGCTCCAACCTGCCATGCTGCCCATTTGCCTCTCTCTCCCATTGCCTAAATACAGTTGGACCCTTCAGTTACATCTGCTGTCCTCAGCTACCTGCGGAAGAAGCAACGCCCCACGTAAGTCCCTAGTGCATACACCACAGACTCCCAAGGCCTCCTGGTGCTCTGGGACAGGTGTAAGTGCGGGGTCAGGGACGCCGTCCGAGAACTGGAAAGCGGCATGTTTAAGGTAACATAGCAATGCTAAAAACTAGACTTCTAGGGTCTGAAGCAGTGATTACAAAATGATGCAGAGTACATTCAGCTCCTTCAGATGATATTAAGTATGCCTACAGAGAGGAAAGGAATGGGGGGATAGAAGGGTGAGTGCTCTTCTATAAATGTAGTGAGAATTAAGAACCTCCTTTTGGAAACACACAAATTTAGGGAGGGAGAAGAAAATATTAAATATGTCCCATCTCTTTTTGATGTTTTTCTCTACTGGCATAAAATATTATAAAGAAAGAATCAAGGCTAAGTCAGGATATCAACGTAAAAAAGGCTGAAACACAGCACTGTAACTACGAGCTCTGGTTCAAGCTCATCAACTGGCTATGATATTGTGATGGGTGACCGTGGTTGTCGGCTTTACACACCTGGGAGGAGCAAACTTCAACTGAGGAACTGCTCGTCAGACTGGCTTGGGAGCATGTCTGTACAGCGTTTTCCTGAGTAACAGCTAATGTGGGAGGGATCAGTCCAAAGTACAAAGCTTTCCTTAGACAAAGTTTTCTTCTATCCATAATACATGGATAATAAATATATAGCAATTCATCAATAATAAGAAATCAGATTCCATAGGGTCTAATAAAGTAACTAGAACATTATTGCTGCTTACTAAATGATGGCTATTATTTTTATTTTTATCCTTTTTTGCATTAGTTTCAGCAATTATAGAATCTCTCAATCAGCAGCACAACAAATAAAGACGTAAGAGAAACCAGTGGAGGTCACAAAGCAAAATGATAGGGGATATAAGGTCAAATTCAAATGGATAGGGACAGATATGATCTCTAAAATCTAAAGGGGCTAGACTACAATTGATTGTAAAAGATGATAACTCACACTATTTTGAAATAAATAAAATAATAATAAATGAAAGATAAGATGAGAGTGTCTAAAAAACATTTAGACTTTCTAGAGTTGATACAATATGGTAGAATTAGCTAAGTCATCAATCTCCCTCCATATTTTGAGAATCATAACCAAAAAGGTTGCAGTGAGATTAAACTTAACAACATTCATAAAGCAAGCATTCAGGGTAGGGTACACTTTTAAAAGATGAAATGTATATTGCTCTTGCCGAGGACCCAAGTTCAGATACCAGCACACATTCTAGATGGCTTACAACCACCTGTAACTCTAGCTACTGATCTGATGTCTCTCACCTCCATAGGCACCCTCACTCACGTTCAGATATCCTCTGACACACATACATACAGGTAAATAAAAATAATAAGTCTTTAAAAATAAACTCACAACAGGACTTACTTTTTTCCCATTATCATTATGATGGATTGCCTTTTATTTAAAATATGGCATTTCTTGCAGTATCATATTAAACACACAACATATTTTAAGGCTGCCATTTGTAGTATGATATGCAGTGACCGATATCATGGAGTGTGGCCATATGTGTTTCTTACCTATTTTAATAGCAAGATTTTCCATGATAAAATCTGACCATCATATTTCTCTATAGAATACCTAGCCTTGTTCTATACACTCAATTAATAAGCAAAAAATCCTATCAACTACGAATTCTTGACACATTAGCAGAAGTATCATATCTTCTCTTCTAAAGTTCTGAACAGCGAGAGGAGCAGAAGCGAGAGTCTCTGGCCTAGACCTCAGTCCCCACACCCGGTCTGAGAGGCTGTTAGCAAGTTAGCTAATTCCCTCAGCTCAGTCTCATCTTTTGTGAACAGAAGTTACAGGGCACAGTTAGAGGCAAAGAAGGCAGAACACATTTCAAGGACTCAGTAGAATTCCTAGATGCATCTCTCCATTACCAAAACATAACCATTTCTGTATATTTCTCTAATATGTAGAAAATAATTCCCTTTACAGTCAACTTCAAATACATTGGAATAATTAAAATTACTTGGAAGAAATTATTCAAGATGTGTTACAGAACTGTAAAGAATTGAAATTAAGCAATAATGTTCTTCTCCTTATACTATAGACAAAATATAAAATGGTAAAAGTTACCACTAGAAATGTGGTATAATATAATAATAACAAACGATTATTATTAAAAATATACTAGCAGAATACATTCCTTTTTAGAGGATTTTGACATGCTAATAATCATTAGAGAGAATGAAGTTTAGGAAATGGGGTTGGATACTTTGCCTGGTAAATAATAGTCAGAAATATACTTTAAGATAGGGAAATGTTTTAAAGCAATAAAACCAAGTATGTACTGTTAGAGTCTATTTAGAGCAGTGTTTCTCAAACCCTTTGGGGAGTTGATTATAATGACTCTTTCAAAAAGGTCACTTAAGATAATCAGCAAGCACAGATATTGACATTACAATTTGTAACAGTAGTGAAATTACATTTATGGAGTAGCAAAGAAAAGAATTTTATAGTTGGGAGTGACCACACAACACATGAACTCTATTAAAGGATCACAGCCCTTGTTTAGAGGTTTGACCTTCCTTTCCATAGCAAGCTAGACTTGCATTCCCAAAACAAGGTAAAGGAAACATTCTGGCAATTTATAGTATTTCTTATTGAAAGAAATAAAGTCAGAGAAGCATAAATATTATATTAATTGTTTAATATTTATTAATTAATATTTGAACAATGACTTTATTGTTTGTCTAGCTCTCAACATGAGATAATGATAAATATACTGTTTTGGGTTTTTTTGGTTTTTTGTTTTGTTTTGTTTTGTTTGAGACAGGGTTTCCTGTGTGGCCCAGAATGTCCTGGAACTTGCTGTGTAGAAGAGGATGACCTTGAACTTAGGAATCCACCTGTCCTGAGCACTATAATGAAGGGTGTGTGCTGCCACGCCTGGCTTAAAGTTGTTTTTGTTTTTGAAGATTTATATATTATTTCTACTAAGGTGCATGGGTATATGATGCATGAATTTATGTGTCACGTGTAATCAGATGCCCAGGGACGCCGGGGTCCATCAGAATCCCTGGAACTGCAGTTAGAGGCGATTGTGTGCCACATGATTCGGGATCTAGGAACCAAAATCAGGTCCTCAGCAAGAGCAGTAAGCACTTTCTGCCTCTGAGCAGTTCTCTGGGCCCTGAGGCAGTTCCTAACGACCTATCTAGAAGTACGCGGAACACTTACATTGAGTAGTTATTTTAAGAAAACAGAACTTGGCATCATTGAGACTACAGAAGAACTTACACTATTCATATGCATTTCCTTATGCTCCTCTTAAGTTACAGAGCAGTGTGACCAATGCATCCTCTTAGCCACTGATAAAACAGACGCAACAGAAAACACAGCCAATACAAAAGAAAGCAAAGGACAGACACATCAGTTCTCTTACTCTTACATTTACATATTCTATGAACTCACTATACATGATTTGATTCAGTTTCTTAATCATTATTCCTGGTGACTTTGATATCATCATCTGAATCTTTGTTACATTGTCCAGACTTACCTTAACTTCCTTCCTAGCGCTTCTTGTGAGATTAGAATGAGACTTGAGGATTAACAAAGAAGCATAAGACATCCATCCCACAAAACCAACAGCAACACTGATGCCCAAAAAGAATCTATCGTAAGTGTGATAATAGGACAATCCTTTCAATGCGAGATCAATCAGCTCCTCGCAGAGGGAGACCTAGGGGACAAAACGGAAGTAGAACTTGCAGTGAAACAATAGAAGTCAAGTTTCTTGAACCCAGGAAAACTGGTGTTCCACAGAATCAAGCCACTAAGCGTGAGTCACTACAGATGGGAGGATTAGGAACGGATTTCAACTGTGAGGCTCTTTGGTAAGATAGGGCATTTTAATGGAAACTGCCTGTAATCTATGCTGTGTTTGAAAGCATTCATTATGCAGAAATGGTCCTCAGATGACACATACAGGAAACAAAGGTTCTTTAGCATTAAACCAAATAAAGGAAATGCCTGTATGTATATACATATGTAAACATGTGTGTATATGCATTATATTCTACTTTCATATCATATTATGCAAGTCTACTTTAAAATATCACCAAAATTACAAAATATTAGAAAAGAACAATAGTTTAGTGAACTGGGTATGTATTTTAGTGGTAGAGTGCTTGCCTAGCATATGAGAGACCCTGGGTTCAAATACTATTAAAGAAAGTCTAAAATTTAGAATCATAATTAAAAAATTATAATAAACAGATTGGTAATTATTTAGGCAATTTTTTAAAATGGAAGCAGAATTTTTAGTGAAGCAATGGTGACAGGTCTGTAACTGTTGTGACATTTTGGTCACATATGACAATAAAGTTTGCTTTGAATTAGAGGGTAGAACTAGTTACTAGTTGACCAAAAAAACCATAGAGGTTTTAGAGGACTGAGGCTAGAGAGACAGGAAGTACCAGGGCAGGGCTTAAAGAACTCCCTCTGGATGGAGGAAAGACAGAGATAGGCAGTCAGTGTCTGCTTCCCTGCCACTACTCTGTTCAGGTTCTTATCCTGATACCTGACTCCTGAGTTTTTATTGATAAAGAATTAATTAGATAAACGCCTCATCAGATGTAAAACATGGAGCATGAAATCAGAGACAGCCACTCACCCCTAGCATTGCAGCCACTAGAGCTGCCATCCTGCTGTCACCAATCACTCAGGTTGTACACAAGCAGCGCACAACTGCTGATGGTCAAAGGTGTCAACAGCACTACCTTTAAAATAGTTAACTGAGAAACTTCTCTGGGTAGAACAACGGACTGTGACATCACAGAAATTATAGGCACTGGAACAGCTGGTATAGGAGAAGCTGAATGCTCAACATATTGAAGAATCAACCAGTCCCTGAATTTTTCTACAAAAAGAAATCTGGAAAATGGAGAATCATCACAGGTCTGAGAGCTATTAATAAGGTGATCCAGCCAATGGGCTCCTTACAGCTTGGAATTCCCTTGCCATCTCTATTACCTAAAGGATGGGGTATTATAGTGACCGACTTAAGGATGCTAATTTACTTTATCTTTACAAGATAAAGATAGAGAAAATTTGTCTTCACAGTGTCTACTTATAATAATTCCCAGTCAGTGGGAAATTTTTCCACAAAGAATGTCAAAAAGCCCTACCTTATGTCAATATTTTGTAAAACATAATCAGATTTCTCAGTCTATAATTTACCATTATTTGGATGATATCTTACTAGCTGATTCAGATTCAGATGCTTTAGAGAAAAGGTTTGAAGAAGAAAAGAAAATTTTGTCTTGTTAGGGATTATAAGTTGCTCCTTAAAAAATACAAATAGGAGATTCTATTAATTACCTAGGATATAAGAGGTTTATAAAAATTTCAACCATAGAAAGCACAAATCAGGAGAGATCAATTATGAACTCAATGATTTTCAAAAACTGCTGGGAGATATTAACTAGCCACAGACCACAATTAAGACAACTCAAGAACTAAGTAATTTATTCCAACCTTACAAGGTGATAATGGACTTAAATAGTCACAGAAAATTATCAGCTAAAGCTGACAGAAAATTGGCTTTGGTAGAAAAGAAATTACCAGATGCACATGTGGATCATGTGGGTTGATTGAAAACAGAGTTTGACTGTATCCTGGTTATTTTATCTTCTATGCATTTACCTACAGAAATTCTAGTGTGGAGAGAATATAATCTCTTAGAATGGATATTTTTACCAACAAACAGAGCAAAAAATTAAAGACTTATGTAGAAAAGGTTACAGAATTGGTTCTAAAAGAAAAACTGAGACTTCATCAATCAACAGGAATGGAGCCAACAGAAACTGCAATCCCTTTTACTAATGCTGAAATTTCCTCCTTATGGGCAAAAAATGAAGACTGGCAAGGAGCTTGCAGTAAGTATTTTGGAAGAGAGTAACAGCAAATATCACCAAAGCAAGAGAATTTAGTTTATAAAGAGAACTAACCTATATAATGTGTGATCCTTTCTCACATTATACAGGAAACACCACTTCTGGAGCCCTACATTCTATACTGATACAAACAAATCAGGAATGGCAGGTTATAAGTCAGAAAATCTAAGTGGCTCGAAGTCCTTACAATTCTGTTCAAAAGTCAGAATTATAAGCTATTCTCATGATATTATTAGATTTTCCAAAACCTCTTAATATATTGACTCTCAACATACAAAGTTGTTTTACATATTGAAACTGCTGAATTTATTCCAGATGATTCAGAATTGACCTTTTTATTCAGTTACAAAAAGTAATGAGAAATAGAAATCATCCCTTATGTATAAAAAGCCGATCAGATCCCATAGAGGTCTACCAGGCCCTCTAGCATAAGGGAATGATGAAATTCATCAGCTATTGGTAGGAAATGTGCTCAAATCTTAGCATTTCCTAAGAAACACCATGTCAATAGCAAGGGTTTGAAAAACAATTTTTCTATCAGTTGGCAGGAAGCCAAGGAAATTATAAAGAAATATACTATTTGTTCTTTGTATAATCAAACCCTACTACCTGCAGGAAGTAATCCAAATGGTACTCAAAGAAATGAAGTTTGCCAAATGAATGCCTTTTCTTTAGCAGAGTATGGAAATTAAAATATGTACACTATACCAGAGATATATGTGCAGGATTTCAATGAGCAACTGCATTGAGTTCTAAAAAGGCTGATTCTGTAATTACACATTTAATAAAAGTTACGACAATCATGGGGATTCCTGTACAAATTAAGACTGGCAATGCTGCAGCATGTCTCCAGTAACACAAAACAGTTTTCGCATACTGCAACATAAAGTATATTACATGTACACCACACAATCCTACAGGGCAAGCAGTTATAGAAAAATTTAATCGCACTATAAAATATATGCTTAATAAACAGAAAGGGGTAATAAAGACTCCCAGAGACAGACTGTACCGCTGTGGGACAATGGTCTTGTACCCTGTAAAGATTTAGAATCTGGATACTGTATGTTATTGTGCTGTCTTTGAATTGTTTGATGGCTGAGAAAGGAGCAACAGCTGCTAAAAGACATTTGGTTATAAATCCTGCTGGATTAACCCAGCAAATATATTTTGAAAATGCCTTGACTTCAAAATTTAAGTCAAAAGAGATGTTACTTTGGAGAAGAAAAGGTTTTGCTTTTGTTTCTACAGAAAATGAGAGGCTGTGGATTCATTCTGAGTTAAGAAAAATCAGGTTTGACCAAGGAAGACCCCCGAAAAATCTTGAAAAGGAGCAGAGGGCCTAGATGATCCAACATTTCAGAAGACCTCTGTTGGAGATTCATCTGAGTTCAACATCCAAAACAACCTCAAAACTGCTGGTTGAGATGACCAAGACTCACAGAATATTTCAGGCAGGACTTGACCATAATTCTAAACTTCCTGTAGGTTCCCATAAGATTATCAGCACCCCCAATTAGCAGGAAGTAGCCTCGAAAACTATGCCCATATTCTCCCGAAATAGAATATGAATGTTTGTCTTTGTTAAGAGTGTTGGTTACAAGTTGTATGGATAATAGTCAGGAAGAAAGCTAAACAAAGGAGATTAGATTTAGTGATTCTGTTTTGAAAAAGTGTGTGTCGGGGGGGAGAAGTCCTGTGGGACAATGGTCTTGTGCCCTGTAAAGTTTTGTCAGTTGTAAAAAAATGCCGAGTGCCCAGTAGCCAGGCAGGAAGTATAGGTGGGGCAACCAGAACAGTAGAATTTTGGGAAAAGGAAAGGCTCAGTCTGCAGTCATCACCAAGATGCAGAGAAAGCAAGATGAGAACACCTCACTGATGGAGGTACCAAGCCACGTGGCTAACCTAGACAAGAATTGTGGGTTACTGTAAGATGTAAGAATTAGTTAATAAGAAAGCCTAAGCGAACAGGCCAATCAGTTTATAGTTAATGTAGGCTGTTGTGTGTTTCTTTGGGACTGAATGGCTGTGAAACTGGGCAGAGAAGAAACCCCTACCAAAATTGCACAATGTTTTATTAACTTTAAATTTTTAAATGTTAATGAGAAATGAATATCAGCTGCAGAAAGACATTGAATAAAGGAAAAACTGCTGAATTAAGTCAGTCTGAATATAATAAAGATGTTGATCTCACAATGGAAACCAGGATACGTGTTACATTAGGGAAGAGGTTTTGCTTTTGTTTCCACAGGGGAAAACCTATAGAGACCATCAAAATTGATAAAGATTAGATTTGAACAGGAGAGACCTCTTGATTAGTAGAGGTGATAGTTCAACAAACAGCATGACCCCTCAAATCTAAACTAACATAAGATAACAAATGCTGTTATTTTGATCATTTATCACCTGCCAAAAAGGAAACTCCCCAAAGTGAGGGTTGGGGCAGGGCTTTGATTTTTGTCTTTGCGGGAGAATGAAGGCATCCAAATAAGGAATCTGAAGACCACTGGACAAAAGTGATATCTGAAGAAAAGGATGAATAATCCATAGAAAATTTCCTAAGATAAAGAGTAAGTTGCCTAATGATATATCACATTTCCAACAAGATAAAATTTCATAAATCTTTCCAAATGTTTGCATCTGCTGTTCTCTACACATATATAAAGGAAATGGTCTTTTTGTAGTACCAGTTCAAGTAAAAATTAAAACTGGCTTTGAACGTAAAGAGTGGCTTTCTTCTTCTCTAAACCCAAGCATGTATTTTAAAGGAAAATCCAAAATCTCTGTTTCTTGTCAAAAGACCCACCTGATATGGGACAGAAGAAAGACCAAAATAAAGGTACTATTCTATCGCCACTAACCTCATAATCCTTTGGTTTTATTTTGATTCTTTAAACTTTATTATCTCAAATTTTATATGGTGTGGCCAGGCAGTGGTGGCACACTCCTTTAATCTCAGCTTTTGGGGAGTCAGAGGCAGGTGGATCTCTATGAGTTTCAGGCCACCCTGGTCTACAAGAGCTGGTTCCAGGACAGGCTCCAGAGTTACAAAGAAACCCTGTCTTGAAAAACAAAACAAAACAAAAGATATATGTGTGTATCTATGTACCTTTGGTCATAATATTAATGGTCATATAGAGTAACAACGAATTTGAGAAAAAGGCTTAATCTACTTTCCTGTACATGATTTTGGGTTTGTGTCTCTGTAAGGTAACTAGGAATTACGTTTGCATACCCTGGATGTACTTAACAAGTTGTGTTCCTTTAACCTCTCCATGATCTGCTGCATATGACATTTAAAATGTTGTAAGTTTTCTACAATGAACCATGAGCATTCCTAACAGTAACCTCTGAAGTCTCCAAAAGTTTATTGGGCCCCACAACAATGAATGCACCTGGATTGTAGTAACGCATCTAAGTTGACTAACAGAACCCAAAGATAAGCTTTGGACTACCAACTGCTCAGGACAATCTTGAGGTTAGCTGTGATGGTTCAGTCTCATGACTACACCAACCCCACACTTTCCCATTACACAGAGACTGCCAACAAATGGCACAGCTAGCTCTCCCAGGACTTGACCGTATTTCAATTTTTTCAGGGTTTCCTAGATATGCTGTCACCCTCCAGACAGAAGGATGCAATCTAGAGAACATAACAGCCACATTCCCAAGTGGTGGGGTAGATGGTATTTGATCATTCAGTGGGTTATGGATATTACCACTTGGGGTTGGTTACAGTTGTTCTTAGTAATGGTCAGGGGGAAAAAAGCTGAACAAAGAGATTAGATTCAGGGATCTCATTCTGAAAAGAAAAAAGAGGGATATAGAAATGATACAGTAGATTAATTAATCTACTTCTAAAGCAAAAAAGCAATTACTACTTTTAAATATTTTACATTGGTACAGATTTTTATATAATGACATAAATTTGAGGTTATTTTTGTAATACTATAATATATATATATGTTTCTACTATTGTTTAAGATATTTTGTATATTGATACAATTTTAAGTTTATTTTTGTTAGAACATGCTGAACATACGTTTCTGCTGTCTTAAGGTATTATATCTATGCAGCTTGTTTAACAATGTAATGTAAATTTCTAGTCCTTGAAATCATTACAAACTATTTAGGATAATAAATGCAGGTTAGTTGTTAGTCACCTATTACAGTCAAACTTGTAGGCATGTTAAGTATGCTTTCAAGGTCAAACAGAGATATATTTTAGATAGATAAGTATCTTCAAATACTTGAGAGATCTACAGAATATAGAAACATTCAAGATGTTTTAATAACATAGTTTTTTACGGCAGTGAGACATGTCTGTTCCTGGCAGCACCAATCTACTCTAGAGAAGATGATGGGCACTGAAGAAATTGCATATGGAGTTTATTTTCTTTGTCACAAAATAAGCCACCAGGCAAGAAACTGTACTTGCCTTGACTGCTGACAGTATGTTGTCCAAATTGGACAAGCAGGACACAAAAGAAAGTGACTGCAGAACTTTGCCAAGACAAGGTGAGACAGTCCTTCAAAATTCCTGCTTCACAGAAATGTCTTCCAAATGTTCTAGGCCCAACATTACAGAGGAACTGTGGATGACTGTTCTGGCAGTCAGTTGTTTCTGTCATTTCTTAGCTTTAGAAGTTGTTTGCTCTGCACTTCCTGTTTACTCAGGTAATAGTTTTCCTTCTCAGGTCTCTGACGGAGTTGAACACTAGATAGTTATAGCTATAGTTCTCTTTGTTATCAAATTCTGAAAAGAAATTCACAAAAGAGGTGTAAAGTTTATAAAGTTGAAAGACATAGAAAAAAGGTTTTGGGTTGGTAATGCAAGCAAGGATACAATGTGAATTAAGTAAAAAATTTTGGACTCACCAAAATAGGATAGATAATGGAGTATTTTCTCTGAAATTATCAAATGCAAATGTACTAGACATTGCTAATGCAATTTATACCTGTATATATTTGAATGTAGTTATCATACTTATTGTATATAGTTTTAATATGTTACTTAAAACCTTTTTATTTAGACAAAAAGAGGAAATGTGTGATGTTTGATTGCATTCTGACAATAAAGTTTGCTCTGAGCTGCTCTAGGATAATGCTCTTGTATCCTGTAAAGATTTGTCACTTCTATTGGTTTAATAAAACACCAATTAGTCAGTAGCCAGGCAGGAAGTATAGGCAGGTTGACCAGACTAGGAGAATTCTGGGAAGAGGTGAAGTGGGACAATGGTCTTGTACCCTGTAAAAATTTGTCATTTGTATTGGTTTAATACAACACTGATTGGCTAGCAGCCAGGCAGGAAGTATAGGTGGAGTGACCAGAACAGGAGAATTCTGAAAAGAGGAAAGGTTCAGTTTGTAGTTGTCACCCAGACACAGAAGAAGCAAGACAAGAATGCCTCACAGATAAAAGATACTAAACCACAAGGCTAACACAGACAATTATGGGTTAATGTAAAATATAGTAATATAAAAGTTAATAAGAAACTTGAGCTAATATATCAACCAGTTTATAATTAAGGTAGATCTATATGTATTTCTTTGGGACCAAATGGCTGCAGGACCAGAGAAAAGGCTCAGTCTGCAGTCACCAGCCAGATGGAGAGTAAGCAGGATGAGAATACCTTACTGAGTAAGGTACCAAGCCACAAGGCTAATCACAGATAAAAATTGTGGGTTAATTTAAGGTGTAAGAGCTAGCTAATGCCTTCATCTGGTGATGGATGGAGATAGAGACAGAGACCCACAATGAAGCACTGAACTGAGCTCCCAAGGCCCTAATGGGGAGCAGAAGGAGGGAGAACATGAGCAAGGAAGTCAGGACCACGAGGGGTGTGTTCACCCCCTGAGACAGTGGGACAGATCTAATGGGAGATCACCAAGGCCAGTTGGAATGGGACTGATGGAGCATGTGATTGAGCTGGACTCTCTGAATGTGGCTGATGGTGGAGGCTGACTGAGAAGCCAAGGACAGTGGCGCTGGGCTTTGGTTCTACTGCATGGACGGGCTTTGTGGGAGCCTTGTCTGTTTGGATGCTCACCTTCCTGGACCTGGGGGGAATGGGGAGGACCTTGGACTTCCCATAGGGTAAGGAACCCTGACTGCTCTTTGGCCTGGAGAATTAGGGGGAGGAGGAGTGGGGGGAGCGGAGGGGAGGGAAGTAGAAGGAGGGGAGGAGGTGGAAATTTTTAATTAAAAAAAATAAGCCTGAGCTAACAGGCAAACCAGTTTATAATTAATATAAACCTCTGTGTGTTTTGTTTGGATTGAATGGCTACAGGACCGGGCAAGACAGAAACTTCCATCTACATTGAGTCAGAGGGCAGAGTTAACCACTAGTTTACCAAAATTAACCATAGAGGTCTTGGATTGAAGACAAATAGGAGACAGGAAGTTTTTGACGGAGGAATGGAAGAAAAAGAAAATCACTGGTGGCTTCTCCACTTCTCTGATCATTCAGGTTCTTACCCTGATATATGATACCCGATTCTTTACTGATAATTAGATAAATGCTTCAGTGTGATAGTGTAAATGGCAAATGTGGTGCTCTGCACCCTCATAAGGGGATGATGGTTACTTGAAATTTGTTTTTTCATTGATAAACAAACAAACAAAAACAGCAATACAGTTCCTTTCTAAAGCCAAACTAGAAAACTGCAGTCACAGACTGCCTGAAATAAGAAGCATGTCTAAGTTTAAAGGTTCCTCAGGAAATTCTCCATTCTGTCTGATGTGCTCCCTACATATAGTTTACCCTACACTGACCACAAGTGCCCATATACTTACTACTTCATCAAATTTTTCTTGCTTTATATAAGACCTTGCTTTTCTTAAAATATCCAGCTGCTGAGAATCAGAGAGCAACCTATAGAAGAAAAAAAATAGTCTTAGTGTTTCCTCATTTGGTTTCTATCATTTCATGATTTTTATTCTTATTTGAAAATAAGATAGTAAAAATTGATAAAACAAAATAAAACCAAATAAAAATGAAAATGAAAGAAAAGATTAAGTTAAAGTGTATAGTTACTAGCTATCTGAATGCCTCCAAGAAAGAGATTATGGCATCCCTAATATCCTTTTATTTTTAAATTATTTTTGTAGTGCTAAAAGTCAAACACAATGCCTTAAATATGAAAAGCAATAGCCCCGTTGATGAGTTATACTCCAATCCCTTACAGAAAGCTTTAAACACTAAGTACATTTATGAAAACTATATAAATCATCATTCTAAGGAAATTTAGGGCCATAACAAAGAAACTCTGACTAAGTCAAGGTAATTACTATACCACTGAGTTCCATCACTAAGCCTTCCTGTGTGTATACTAGTCACAAAGATAGGGTAGCACGGTAACTCATCAAGTGTGCTTTTTATGCCTTATCAAAACAGGGGCTAAGAGTCCATAATAAACTAGGAGAACCTAACCAACAATAGGAGTTAATTAATAATTTGAACCTATTCATCATTCTTGCACTACAATGTACTCAGAGAAACAAGTCAGAATAGAGAATAATTCAAAGTTATATAAGAACAAGGGCATTATTAACATTACAGAATAAAGCAACAAATATCATCAGAACAATCACCTTTATAAAATGAATAAGTAAGTCTAAATGCAAATTTGAATACATATTGCTGAACTAAGTCTACATTCCTAACATGAGCATAATCACATCTTGACAATGCATAAAAAGTGACTGAAGGCATTGAAAGCTGCATGACATATGACAAAGACTGGGACAACTGTATGTGGTCAACATGCCATAATCATTTGTCTTCTTTCTAGCTAGTGATTTCCCAACTCTGAGGAGATGTAACTCTGATGAGAAGTAAATCTTTTAAATAATTTGAGGTGGGACTGTCTGAAGTTCATTTTAGAACTTGAGACTCTTTTCTAGAAAATACACATAATTTCAAACCTTGCATGTTTTTACAAAAATATTCATGAACCACAGAAGACTACCTATAAAATTTCTTAAACTCTATAGGAATCATAATTAAGAATTGGGTTGAGGGGCTGAAGAGATGACTCAAGGTTAAGTGACTTGCTGCTTTTCCAGAGGACCTGAGTTCAGTTCCCAGCATCCATGTTAGGTGGCTTGCAACTACCTGTAACTGCAATTCTGGGAATCTTAATGTTCTGGCTTCCACAGGCACTGAACTCACATGCAAACACACACACACACACACACACACACACACACACACTCATACACGTACACACCCCCCCACACCGACACATAATTCAAACTAATACAAATAAACTTAAAAGAAAAAACAATCTGTTCTGATTCTAAGATCTCTCAGCTCACTCAATCAAGGGCTCTCATGTTTCTAACTGCAGAAGAACCCACCATCCTTCCATCTTCACCCTCCATAGAATTTAATTTGTAAAGAAAAAGTGTCACAGGCAGGAATAGAAAGAAAGTGAAAAATGTTACTTCAAAATGTTACTTTGGTCCATTTCTTTCTATGTTTTGAACACTGAACATTTGGAATGTTTTCCTGGAAATCTTGAATTTCTGATCCAAGGGCATAGGCAGTACTGAATTTGCCAAATAAAAGCCTTATAGCTGACCTCTTCTTCCTTGTTCTGACCTACTCTGATACTTGGTGTAGAAGGTCCTTCTGTATTTGTGTTGCTTTCATCGGTTAATTAAAAAAAAAAGCTGCTTTGGGCCTGGTGATAGGGCAAAACTTAGGTAGGCGGAGAAGACAGAACTGAATGCTGGGAGAAAGAAAGCATCAAGAGAGAACCACCATGGAGCTGCCAGGTCAGACATGCTGAATAGTGGTGATATACAGATTATTAGATTATTAGAAATGGGTTAAATCAAGATGGGAGAGTTAGCCAATAGGAGGCTAGAGCTAATGGGCCAGGCAGTAATTTAATTAATACAGTTTCTGTGTGGTTATTTCCTGTGTAAGATAGGTGGGCGGCCGAGACCAAAAGCAGGCCTTCTCTCCTTCAACAGATACTGACTGTCTTCACCAACTTTCTCACAATTGATATGGCTCCTTTGATCTACTTCTTCAATTCTAAGCTCCCTACACTACTTCTACTCCTCTTAATTCCTCGTGATTACACACGCACACGCGCGCGCGTGTGCACGCCCCCACACCATTTTTCATTTGTCATCTATCTTGTACTTACATCGGAGTTCTTGTCCATAAAGATCTTTATGCTTTCTAAAAATCAAATCTTTATGACCCATTCCAAACCTTTCCTCACACCATTACCACTTTACTGTGGGTTAATAATCAGTGTATTCACATTCAGTTACATCTTAAACTCATGTGGATCAAGATAATGTCTTATACTTCCATTAAACTTCACCATAATACTTAGCAAAGTGCTAAGCACACAGAATGAATCAATAAATCTTAATGATTAAATTCTATTAAATTCTATCAAAGAGTCTGTTGTAGTAAGTAGCACATGCCTTTAGCTCTCAGGGGGCTACTGCCACTGCCACTGTTGTCCTCCGCTCAGTCAAGCTCCAGCTCCTACCACACACCAATAACTCTCCAGAGTTTCTAAGCTTCCTTAGAGATGGAATTGGACATCCTGAGACCTCCAGTTTCATGGACTAAGCAGAAAAGGGGTATCTTTGCCTCTCTACTATAGAAAATATCACTGATGAGACTTCCAGCTCACATTCTGTAAGCCAGTCTATCAAATCCTGTTTAATAGTCTATGTGTTCTCTAGAGAAACAGAACCTATATACTACAGAACAGAACCTAATATACTACAGGATTCATTGAAATAATATTCTACATCATATGTAGTATCTACATATGCCATATATGGAAAGGCACAACAAGCTACAACTTTCCTTAGAGAAAATGACTAAGATTGGAACACTAGGCAGAAAAGGAGACATTTTTATCTTTGGTTCTGTAATTTGAAATGTGTGCATATGCTATTTTTCTCCTTAACATTTTACTAACAAGGTTAAAGAAAATCCTTAAAATGATGAATTTAACCATAGCTTCAGGCTGTCAGTGAATTTTGGAATATCAGTATAGCCACCAGAAACAAGAAAGTGTGGTAAATTTTAAATTAAATTAAAATTCAATTTATAAACGCAAAGACAATCAAGAACAAAAGGGCTAAGTAGAGAGATGGAAAGCAAAGAAATAAGAGAACTTTCTACAAGTGGAACTCTTAAGACAACATTTCTATTTTGGGGTCAAGGCAAGAAGCTGAGAGTTTAATGTACAGATGCTGCCAGATGCGAAGCAAAATCTGTGGGGACGTCAGCAGTCCCGAGACCAGAGAGATCAAAATTAAACTCTGTGGCTGCAAATGTTGCCTGGATATGTTTAATTGCGAATTCTTTAAAATTCTTTAGACCTAGAATGACATATTTTTTGAGATTTTATTATTTGTATGTATATGTGTGTATATATGTATGTGTATATGTATAAACACATATATATGTATATACTCATATATATATATATGAGTTTTATAATTTGTATTATGTATGGAAGCTTGGTCAGCATGTATGTATGCTCAGCATATGTGTAGTGTCCACACAGGCCAGAAGACGGTGTCCAATCTCCTGGAAGCAGGGTGCACATAATTGTGAGCTGCCGCTGGGAAACGGACCCAGGTTCTATGGAAAAGCAACCAGCGCTTTTAATGCCTGAGCCATTTCTCCAGACCAAAGAGAGACTTCGACTATACTATCCTAAAACAAATTCTGAGGTACAATTTCAAGAAAAGTAAAAAACAGGGGCTTTCATAAGAAACACTACATACCACACCATAGGTTATGATACAGTTTGGAAAACTCATTTTAAAAAAAGGGAGGTGACAAAGATCCTGGTGACAAGGAGGAACAAGAAGGGCCATTTGTGGAGACAGGAAAGAAGTTACTTAAGAGCAAGGTCCATAAGCAGCCATGAGCTCCACCAGTGCTAGAATGCACACAGGGTGAGAAACGATTCTCAGGAGTGGCTGGGAGGAAAGCCAGAGATAAGAAACCAAACCAGCAAGCGGGGCTGCAATGAGGCCACACTGCAGCAGCAGAAACAAACCAGAGGTCAGTGGCAGCCTGGAGTTGGGACACAGCTCCGAGCCGTCTATAAAGCCGCCTGAAACCGGGATTTCTAAACCCAGGCTTACCCCAAAGAAAGACAGAAAACCACACTCACAAATGGCATCACGGCTGGTACTATATTCAGTGTGCAAAAACTAATCAAGCAATTGCTTTATTCTTATGGTTTGGACAAATATACCTCCCCTGAAAGGCTACTGTGGCAAAGATTTGGTTGCAATATGGCATATCTATGAAGAAGTGACTGAATCTTGAGGGTACTAACTTCATCAATGCCATTCATAAGTTCATAAATGAATAGGCAACTAGGAGGTGAAGCCTAGCTGACAAAGCAGGTCACTGGAATTACGCATTTGAAAGATATTTGTCCTGAGCTCCTTAGTCATTCTCATGCTTAAATATTCTCATTCTTTCTCTCTCTCCCTCTCCTTCCCTCCTGGTCACCAAGATATAACATCTTTGCTCCACATGCTAGCAGGTCATGAGCTGAAACCTCTAACACCGCAAGCCTTTTCATTGTTTCTCTGGTAATTCAACACCGTAAACAAAAAGGCTGACAGATACAGGAACTGAGGTGAAGGAGAGAAGAGATGGGGGTCTTATCCTTCAGAGGGGAACTGAGGTGAAGGAGAGAGAAGATGGGGGTCTTATTCTTCAGAGGGAAACTACTGGAGCTATTATTTTGAGTTAAAGGCAAACAAAAAACCAAAGATCTCTATCCTACCAAATGTGGTGGTGCATTCAGGGGGCAGAAGCAAGCAGATCTCTTTGAATGGTCTACATAGTGAGTTCTAGACCTG